GGAGCCGGTCCCAGGCAGCACAGGGCACAACGCTGGGCATACCCTGGACAGGGCACAACGCTGGGCATACCCTGGACAGGGCACAACGCTGGGCATACCCTGGACAGGGCACAAGGCTGGGCATACTCTGGACAGGATGCCAGTTTAGGACACATACACACTCAATCATACGCTATGGAAAATAGCCAGTTAGCCTAAAAGTATATATTTGGACTGTGGAAGGAAACATACATGACACAGAACCACATGCAAAATCCACACACACAGATTGGAACCCCCTCCCTAGCAGCCTGAGGCAACAGCGCTGCCCGCTGAGGCACCCCATCCAAATGACTGTGGTCCCTATAAACCATCCTGTGCAAACTGAAGTACCACTGTTGTGTATTATTCAGCATCAGTATGACTTTCTCACATCTAAATGACAATACTTCCATTTTAATTTCAGTGAAATTCAGTTTCTATGTCTTGATGTGCATGTCTGCACATCTCTGGATGCCCCATGTTATTTTGTCTGGGTCCTACAGATTATGCCAGACGAAAACATGGAAAGCAGGGAGAACCCTAGCATCAACTCTTTAACAATGGACGAAATAGGTATGCTGATGTCACATAAGGGACTAACTTTCTTTGTATTAGAAAAACTGCCATATTTATACAAAATAGAGACCATTCTGCCATTCAGACTATATGCTCTTATGGTGGATAGAGCATAATTACGTAAACTGGTTGCAGTGAACAAGGGGTAGTATGTGGCTCTGGGGGTTAGGACTTTGTGCTTGTGCTCAGAAGGGTGTCAGTTCAAATCCAAAGGTCAGCAGAAGGATTTGCCATTTGTCCCTTGAGCAATAGCTTCAAAACTGTCTGACCCTGCTTTCTCAGTCTTACATTACTTTGGATAAAAGCAACTACAAAATGCATAACTTCTTCTTGATGGGTGGTGGAAGCCTGCTGAACCTCATTAACTGTTTATTATTATCAGAACATGTTGTCAGTGCAGGAACTTAGCTGATTAAATAAAACCATTTCACAAAGTATTGGATGCTGTCTACCTTGTGTTTGCCTGCATCTTATTTCTCATGACACTCTTTGTTCATCCAGTTATCCAACCCACGAAAAACAATGGCATTTCTACAGCAATCGAAGGTTTTCCACCATGGAGGAGTCACAGCATATCACTGGATCTTCAAGGTAAGACTCACCCACTCAAAGGTGGGAGAATGGGTCATCATTCGCTTTAGGGAGGGTGATGAGTATACCTTCTGTCCCACTGAGCAATTTTCAAGATATTGCGCTCACTGGTCATCTTAATCAAATAGATCTTTGCAGTGTTCTGTTAGGATGTGAGCAATTATTTTTGGTAAATCATTTTAAGTAGCATGGAACCACCCTGGGGAGTTTCTAGCTATTGAAAAGATCAGGGGCTAAATCAAGTTTACTGTTTACCTGGGGCTTGACTTTTTTGTTTTTGAAGGAGGATTATTGGCATTGGGGCTAAAATACTCTGCGCTAGGCTTAAAATACTCAGGGCTATAGCCCCGAGTGATCGGACCGAATGACGCCCAAGGAACCACCAAAATCTAAACTTGCAACATGAAATAAAAAGTATTTAATAAAACACTGCCATCTTCTGGACACAAAGTCTCCTTTACTGCAGTCCCAGGTATTTCAGCCTACACTGCCAATACAGACCCTGTGTTTGTCACATAGTGTAATAACCATTATCTTGTGCTGGTTACAGCTGACATGTCATTTGACTCTGCGGTCAAGGGATCCACATAACTATTAATTTCAGTCAAATAACAAACTCCTCAATTCTAAATACACTTAGATTTCTTACTTGTAAGACATGAATAGGAATGTGTGCAAGTTTAACAAAATCCGTCAATGTTCTGGTTTCATCCTGTTTATTAATTTACCATGTCTATCACATGCAGCTGTTTAACAGCCTTTCTTTGTTCCACCTTATGTTTCTTGTTTTTGTAGATGAAACACAGAATAGCATTCCGGATGTGAAAAACCCTAATTCTGGAGACAAATCCACAGATATAACAACAGGGGGCATCTTGATGCAAAGTATTCCAGTTGACCAAACTGCCAAGATCCAAGAGGCCCCAGCACTGGTGGTAACCCCTTGTAGGGAGACGGAGTTGGCTCTGCAGTCTGGCTCCGCTGTGTTGGTCCCCAGCCAGTCAGACCACCCCAATGGAATATCTCAGCCGAGCCATGTCAGATACACCCCTAGGGACTCAAAGAGTCAAAATCAACACATCTATGAGGAGCTGGCAGAAGACAAAAAACTCCCCCACGTGCCTTCAAACTCCATCAAGGTCCTGAAAGTGGAGGTGCAGGAAGACCCGATGTACAACACTATAGAGGAGCTGGAGCAGCCTGACAACCGAAATACCGGCCAGAATTCAGAGCAGGAGAACAGCGCCCACGTCTTGACTGTGCCCCCTCTGACGGAGGGCTCCGCCTTCGCACTTGGTGGCAAGCCAAACATCCTCTACGCACGGGTGAGCAAAAAGAACAAAAGTATAGTGCCACCCCCCTTACCATCACCTCCGCCACCACCGGACATCATGGAGGGTGAGGATGATGAAGAGGAAGCCCCTGCACCCCCCCTGCCAAAGAGGAATCTCTTTGGAAACTAAAAACAACCAAATAAGTAACTTATTTTTCTGCTGTGCAATGACTATTTACTTTACACGATAAAAAATCAGATGGGCTTTTCAGTTTGCTCAAATCACAGCATTATAGTTTAGGTGTAAGTTTGGAACTTTTATTTCGTTTTTTTTTTGTACTATAATGTAGCACAGATTGATTTTGATGTTGCAAAATGTACTAATGCATGCACGGGACATCAGTTCCATCCCCAACTGCGTATCCTAGATGGGGTCAGAGGGTCCTAGACAGGGGGCCTGGATCTTATCCCAGACAGCACAAGGCAAGGTGACACGCCAGTCCATCACACATTACAGGCAGTTCAGTGAAGACAATGTCCCTGTGTTTGGCCGTACGAAGGAAACAGCCGCATCATCAGAACATAATAATAATAATAATAATAATAATTGATACTTTATTGATCCCCGTGGGGAAATTGTTTTTATGCCTCCCTCAACTTGCTCTTTGTAGAGCAAGTTGTCTGCGAACATGCAAGGTCCAGAGATATAGCAGGATTCAAACCACCGACTGTGGTTGCGTGTGGTAACACTGTTACTCACTGAGCCACCCTTATGTGGAAAAACAGAGATAATCGTATATTTCTTTGTTATAAATGCAGCAAGGCTCTATTTCACGTTAAATGTTGTCCTGTACTTGATTTACAACAACCTATGCAGTATGATCCTAATGATGAATTACATTGTTATTAACTACCGTAATTTTAAACGTAGGTCAATACTGCAAGGGAAATTTCTCTAGGTTTTTTTTTTTTTATCAGTATGTCAGCTGTATCAATGTCACGTTCTGAGTAGCTTATTTTTACAATATTATTGGCATGAAATGCATTGCTAAAAAAATGTAGTGTACATTCTTAACATTCCACATATAAACTCTTGTATACTGTCATTTTTCATTGGTAAACTTAAAATAAATATTTGGCTATCATTTTTAGTTTGAAGATGTGCCTAAAAGAAGAAACACTCTGTAGTACTTGAAAAACCTATTCATCTTCTGAGCATTGTATGCGTTTAGATACGGCTCCTGCATTTAAATTATTATAAAGCTATGAAGTTATGCCATAGAAAAACATATTACAAAATGCACTGTAAAATGGACTACAGACTAACAGAGTAGTACAAACCTCTCAGCTGGAGGGCCAGCATCATCCATGACTAATTATATATATAAAAAAACTGTTGTATGAGCCTAAGACATAGGGAAGTTTGAAGACCCTTAAAAGTAATAGGTTCTTGATGCCCAAAATGGATACTGTTACGCTTATCCAGAAAAAGGGGAGTTCAATTATTAACGAATGATTCTCTATATTGCCACAATTTCCTCGTTCGTTGCTTTTCCAGGAAGATCAGTAACAAATCATTCAAAAACGTGCCTCGGTGATGTGGATGTAGGTAAACCCTGCACAGCACGAAGCGCTTTGATTTTACCGATTGTCTTTCCTTTTCTAAATGATGGGTGTGGGCGTGGAAGGTTAATGGCGGACCTGGCGCGCGGCGAGCCTAAGGACACATTCCGCCGCCCGCCGACTGGCAGAACGTGACAAAATGCACGTAGCCGCGGACGTCACGGAAAACAGCACGCGGGAGGGGTGTCGCGCGCCGAAAGGCGATCGGCGATTACCTGTATAAATTATTTCTGTTTTAATCAAATACTGCACGCCTATACACACAATGTATCGACGGCACTGGAAAAGACACGCGCACATTGATTTTAATTCTTTATACAAAAGACTACAATTATACTAAGAATTTAAGGCGCACCGCTTGCTTCGACACAGTTCACCAGGCGGTATTTACTGTATGGTTCTTTAACTCTACTGTACCGTATTGTATTGTAGTTCCCGCCATGTATCAGCACCCTCGAGCCCGTACCGCTTTTTCTTAGACTCGTGCATATACACGTTGAAAATTTGGGGCGTGTGTCACACGGGTAGCGTTTAAGCCAATGGGCGCTCGCGAGCCTCCCACATAGTTGTTTACTACTAGGAGTCGGGGCCAGTTGAAAAAGACAATTCGAAAACCCGGATAAATGAGAGTCCTGTGGCGATTGTGAAATGTGCCCGCAAAACGGCAACAGAATAGTCTGCTTTGATAGACATCGCAAGAGCACGTGAGATGCATTTAAAATGTAATACCACGTGATAATTATGTTATTTTACTCTTCCCCGTGCATCAACATCCAGTGGAAGTCGAGTGACCACATCCTCCGATCCACATTGCTGTACGCTCCATGATGCATTTTGCGAAAACCGCTGCATTCGCGTTAAAAGAAGCTTTTTCAAGTTTCAGCCGGTTAGAATCAAGCCCATAAGGGGGTGTGTGAAAGGCTGACGAAGGTACAGTTTTCCATTTAAACTCAGTTATTTTTTTATAATGCATGTTTATTTGCACATCTATTGATGTTTGCTCTTATGACAAAAGTGATTTGCTGTTGCATGATGAGGAATGATTATGTAATTGTACGATCGACGAGTCATCTAATGTTTATAAAAAAATCCTAACCAGAACTAGGGCGGACAGAAAACCTTAAACTCATAAATCATGACAAGGAATAAGCAAAACCAAGTTTGTTGCTTATTAACTAAATAAAACGGCTTGCGATATAATATTTCCATAACAAGCACCGTCAGTTACCCTAACTTCTGTTGTCCACCTACCATGCCAATGATTGAGTAAAATCACTTCATGTCAGTGCTTGGCCGGTACTGGCAGGACCTCGTGTTAAGCTGTGATGCTGTCTTGGTAATATAATGCTCGTAATGCAATGAAGTCCAACTCGGCCTACCTTGGCGAGAGTAAAGGAAAAAGTCACGGCTCTGTGAAAGAAGGCTATGGATTGCAGGAGTAGTGCAGTAACCCACAGAGCATTATACTTCACTTTTTGGGCTTTTCCGTACTTTGGGTTCTGGTTCCAATTACAAATATTTTTATACCACTGTATTCCACGGAGATCGTAGTGTTTCTGTAAGTATTTTACTGTGTCCAGTTACTGGCATTGATTGCAATATAGTTCCCGGATGTTTTTCCTGCAGAAGAGATATTTGATGGGTTGGGGCAGGGGTCTGTAAACCTTTCTGCGAGATTACAATTCATTCATAATAAATCACACATGGGTGATAAAGCGAACACAAGTTACTCATTAAAGGGAAAATGCATAATAAATCTAAGAGGTCATTATAAAAACGGAATTAATCACACAGTTGTGGGGTCTCAAAGTGCCCACAACACATTTTTTTAGAAACAGTGATTGAAAAATGTGTACTGTTTAAAAATTATGTTTGTGCAAGTGATGCCACCTGTCAATACAGTTGTTTTAAAAGTTTATTTTTGTTTATTTGTATTAAGCATGCACTATGCGCTAGTGCCTGTTACAGAAAATAGCCAACCTGTAGCACATAGGCAGCGATCTGCTGTTTGTTGAGCGATGATCACTATAGTTACAAGCCTCCTGTCCTTTCACTGTCCTAGTAATTTTCAGCTGTGCTGGGCACTGGCTTCCTGTGCCTGTCGGCGTAGGGGGCTGTGGATCGCCACAGCTGTAATTGGATAAGCAGTGATTGAGGATGGACGAATAGTTGGTTTGATGATTGGTGTTGTTCTTGAGCTTTGAGGATTATGGTTTGATGCTCGCCTGCTTTGCTGACTTCAGCTACTTTCTTGTTTTAATTAGTGAAATGATTTGTCTTTTCATGCTTTAAGGAATCAGTTTTCAGTGGGGCAGGGGGGCTCTGTGGGCTGGGATGCTGAACTGAATCATGTGACCCAGAGACTTGGCAGCAGGGAACGCATTCCAGAGATGGACGGGAACCGGGAAGAACTGGGGCCAGAACAGCACACGTGTGAACATGAAACCCAGAAAATAAACAAAGGACTGGTGTTTTTTTTTTTTTTTTGGGGGGGGGGGGTTGAGCAGGGGATTCGAGTGCAAGGGACAATTTATGGTCTTTGGAGTTGGTGCTTACCTGGTGTTGGGGGCTGCTGAGAGAAAGGGGAGCAAAAACACAAAATGATCACTTTCTGCTTAACGGGTGGCAGGTGGGACTAATCAAACTGAGCCTATCGCTTTGCTCTCCTTCCCCAAGCAGCTAGAGGCTGCGCCCCCCACCCCCACAGATGCATAGATATTTGTGTGCATAGAACACTTACAGACTATATGACAAAATATATATATTTAAGATGGGCACGGTCATTCTGAGGTTCACCATTCCATTTTGGGATATAACCAATAACAGTTTGGGTTTTTGAGGAAAATCCGAGGATTGGTTTCACTTTCCGGCGGCGAGTGGATCGCCTGAGGACTTTGTGCAGTGATGAGTTTCCCTGACAGGTCGTTTCGATTTTCGTTTGATTTCCTTATGGCACGGCGGTGAAACAGGAACAGCTTCCTGCGCAAGGCCCAGGCACAGTGCATGTCAAAGGGTGTCATTACCCCTCACTTTCCCATATGAAATTAATCCTGTTTTTTGCACTGAAAACTGCTGTTGCAATCAGTCTGCAGCTGAGCTAGTGACTCATGTCTTACTGGAAAAGCAGACAAGGAGAAAGTTCTAACTTTTGACATGACTGAACGCAGTGGTGTTCAGGAGAAGCCCTGTACTCTGGTCTCCCTCTTTCCTTTGTTGGTACCCAAACGCTTCTGCCTTTCTCCCAATTCATGCTCCTGTGCTTCTGACATCGCTGTGGAAACCTTGCATCCTTTCCCCGCCTGATTTTTTGATTCATCAAAATCGTGCAGCTTTTGGGCACCTTCCCACTGCATACTCTGGTTTCCCCAGTTGTCTGTGTGTGCCCCCCCCTGTGATGGACTGGAGCGGCATCCCATCCAGGGTGTCTCTGGGCTTCCTGGGCTTCCTGGGATCGACTTCAGGATCACCGCGACCCGGTGCCGGATCAGCAGTATGGGTGGATATGCTTGAGCCATCATTCCATTGCACGTCAATCCTTAAAATATTGCGATATGCTGACTTTGCATTCAAGTGCACATTCCTCAGAAAAGGAACTGAATCATACCGATTTAGTCGGTAATTTTCAATAAAGAGAACGCTATATACATCATCCCCCACCCACCCACCCACCCCCCAAAAAAAAAACTTGCTCATGGGGATTGTGAGAAGTCAGAGAGACATTTCTGTCACTTGATGAGTTTATCATCACATTTTCCTTGCTAAGTCTCATTTACTTCACTCTACCGATATTATCTACTCAACGCATCGCTCTGTAGGAGTGCAGCAACTGCTGCTTTAATCATCATTTACGAGAGCAAACTTTCTTAAGAATATTGCACCACCAAAGTGAATCTCTCAGTCAGAACCACCCAGCATCCAGCTTGGAACGTGAATTTACTAGCAGGTTTTAATAAGAACCCACAGCCCTGTACTGAATAAGAAGTTGGGAATGAGTAGTAGATTAATCATTTTAACAATTTCTGATACTAATCACTTGATAATGCTAATTAGGCAAGGACTTTTTATTACCAATTCAAAGTAATAATATTCACTATAGCAATTTACAATAATTCCGTATAATGACAAAGAATTTGAATCTGAATCTTCCACAAAGTAATCCTGATTGCAGGTTGAGGAGTTTGATCACAGATTGGGTTTATGCAGAAATGTTAACAAATACTGCGATTTAGAAGAACTGAAATCGACAAAACCTGTCAAAGTCCAGACCATGTGCACAACTGCTTCCATTAGCCAATCCCACCTAATGAGGCGTCGGGCAAACCTCTCCCTCAGATTAGGAGGACAGAGCGGCACAGTGCAGTTCCTCAGCCACTCAGTAGGGGGTGCAAACCTGGATGGACTGGCGCCCTACCCAGACCGTACCCCCAAGCCTTCCTGGACCAGAATGACCATAATTGCATGTTTAAACTTGGCAGCGATATGCTAGAAGTTGAAGGTCGTCGTTTTGGTGAGAATCCCACCCACATATGTGCTGCTCTGTTTTGTTTGCTGGATTCTTTGTTATTGTAACAAGCTAATGACCAGTGTTCAGCCGTCTCAGCCTATGGCTTCATCATGTGCCCCCATATTCAGAGATGATTTAGAAGTTATATTTGTCTATTTGTGCTATAAGCAGCTTACCTGTATGTGTATTCTGTAGTCCATTTAATTAGAAATTGTGCCGTTACTTAGACACATGTGTGGCTTATTTGCATTAGTATGATATGAGCAGAGGTAGCAGGATAGCTTCAAACCTGCATGGTTGCGTGTTTGATTCTTTTCCCTGGCTACATACGTGTGGAGTTTGTATGTTCTTCACGTGTTGCGTTTCATCCGGCACTCCTGAGTCTCCCCACAGTCCAAAAACCTGCAGTTAGGTCAAGTGGTGTCATTAAATTGCTGTGTGTGTGTGTGTGTGTGTGTGTGTGTGTGTGTGTGTGAGCGTGTATATGTCCTGCCTGTGCCCCACCCCATGCCCTCTGCTTACTGGGAAATACTCCAGGCTCTCTGCTTTTCTCATGGAAATGTTTGTTTGGTCTCAAATAGAAGGGTGTTTTCTGTTAGATGCTGGCAAATTTGTTGTCTTAACAAAGTTTAGAGATGCACTGTTTACACCAGCATCTGCCCGCGCCCAGGCCAGCGCTCCCTGCGCCCTCCTGCTGTGCCCGCGCCCAGGCCAGCGCTCCCTGCGCCCTCTTGCTGTGCCCGCGCCCAGGCCAGCGCTCCCTGCGCCCTCCTGCTGTGCCTACCTCAGGGCAATGCCCCCCCCCAATGTTGACATCCCAGGGCGGCTGTGACTGTGGCGCATCACCCTCTGTCTCTTCCCTTTAGCAGCGGCCTCCCGTTACTCCCAGAGCTGTGCGGTACCCCGGTGCCCACCTGGGAAAAATGTCGGCAGTGCCAAAGACCCGGTTGGGGAAGCGCTCGCCCTTCGGGGCGCTCGTGTGCGCCCCCTGTCCCTTGGCTGAGGAAGGGCGCTGTGGGCCGGATGCGGCTGGGCTCGGGTTCCAGGGCTCGGGCCTGGTCAGGATGCCCCTGGATCAGCTGGTGAGCGTGTACATCAGGCTGTGTTGATGCTGGATCTGATAAAAGGTCCTGCCTACCAGTCTCACTCGCACCTGTCTGGAGAACAGTGTCTCTAAGCACAGTGTGTCTCTCTCTGTCCCGCAGCCTGGCCAGGTGGCTCCTGTCGGGATGGAGGCCTACTGGAATATGTCTGCCCCACTTCCGCAGACTCTGCCCCCCACATGGCCGGTGTCTTCCAGCATCGACGTCCCCAGGAGGTGAGGACCATGTGGTGAAGCTCTGCTTGCTTCCCCAGGGGGTGGGAGGACAGACAGGCTTCCTGGCTGGGGGGGCACTAACTGGGATTAATCTTTTGTCGTCCCCCCCCCCCCCCCCCCACCCCAAAAATGGCTACAGGAGCCCAATCTCCGTGGACATGGACAAAATGATGGCAGCCATGGTCCTCACCAGCCTGTCCTGTGGCCCCATAGTCCAGAGCCCCCCCCCGAGGGACCCGGAACCTGGTGAGAGTGTGCTGCTGATGTGACCCAGCTGTGCCAAGTCCTCGGTGCGGCCCCTGTCACACGCTCCTTGTCTCCCCAACAGGAGAAGGCTGCCACTCCTCCCCTGTCCACCAGGGGGCGCTCTGCGAGCATGAGAGCGCTGGAGGTGAGCTGTCTGACAGTGGCAGCAGTGGCTACTGGAGCCTGGGCCGCGGCCACGGCAGCCCCGCTCCGTCGCCGTGTCCGGCCGACATGGCCACCGGTACCGCCCCTCCCCCCGAGGACAGCCTGGACCTGGAGCAGGAGCTGTTTGGCGAGCCAGCGCCCAGGAAACGCAAGGTGAGGGAGAGCCGGGGTTCACAGGAAATGGGGGTGATGGGCGAGGGGTGTGCTGATTGGTGGGCGGTGCTTCAGCTGCCAGACCATGTGAAAAACGGCAATAACAATAATAATAATTAACCGCACGTCTGCGAGGCTGCTACCACTGACTGGGATATGTGGTTGAAAGGTATCAAATCAGTGTGGAATTTAAGTTCAGAGCAAGAAAAAACTATTATTTTTTAATTTAATCTTTGTCTTGTTTCTGACCGTTTTCCTTATTTAAAATAATGCTCTTTGGCGCCCTCTCCTGTCCACCCTCAGAACTCCTTGAAGGCTGCCTACCGATGTCTGTGGCCAAGCTGCTGCAAAGTCCTGTCGTCTGTGGTTGGGGCGAAGCGGCATGTTCGCGTGGTGCACCTGGGGTGAGCGGCCTTCTGGGGAATCCGTGGTGTCTTGGCGAGGGGGGGGGTTGTGAGGTCGGTATTGGCTGGGTATATATAGCTTATCACATACCACAGTTTATCACATATCACACCAAACTTTAGTGACGTAAGGACTGTGATAACTGATCTCTATGCGTGGCTACAAGAGATTGAACCGTTTTTGTGTTCATTGCTGTTTATTTTAGTGGGAGGAGAAATGACACATAGTAAGTGGGATTTCCTTCAAGTTTAACCCAATAGGAACCAACAAAATAAGCACATGAGAAGTGATCTAAACCAGTCAGTGACAGACAGCACACGTGTCTCTCATTGTTACTATTCTGTGCTCATCATGCTCCCGCAGCAGCGATTCTGAACGCTCCAGGAGAGAGGAGGACTTCTACTACACGGAGATCCGGGCCCAGCCCGACCCGTCAGCCCCTCTGGCCAGTGTCAGTGCCGCCTGTGCATCCTGGCCGTCCTGCTCCTCACCGGCCAGCCCCACGCTTCCGCTCGTCCCAGAGCTCCCTGCGGCGCTGCCCGGTCCACTCAGCCAGTCAGCTCCGGGCTGCTTCTGGCAGATCCACTCCAAACAGCAGTACCAGGTAGGTGTCTGGCGGCCCGTGTCGCTCTTTCAGAGGCTCGGTTCCCTTATTCTTCTGCCTGTTCCTGGGTAGCAGCTGTATGGTTCACGTGACTCAGCCGGCTGCCCATGATCCCCCCCCCAGGCATGTGCCCCCGTGCAGGAGACCGCCAGTCCCAGCAGCACCTCTCCCTGCTCCTGGATCCCCTCTCTCTCCCCCACCCAGAGCAGAAAGGTGAACTCAGTAAACCTCAGCGCCGCCTTTTATTGTAAAGATGTCTCTGCTGACAGATATTTGTCTGTTTGCAAAGTGTATATACACATCCACTTGTTTGGAAAGATGATCTTGTCCTGCGGTTAGTCACAGTATTAACAACCAGCCCTTAACTTTATGCTGGTTCAAACAGGAAGTATTATGTGTTGCCATTTGGCAGATCATATGTCGTTTTGTGCGCAGCACTGCCATCTAGTGTTGAGTAAAGGGTGAAATGGTTGGTCTTATAAATTCTGGCTGTTATTTTTTTTGTTTTGTTTTTAGAGTATGAGTCAATTTTTATTTTGCATGGTCTCAATCTGCACTTGGAGTGAAAGAGACAAGAGGGACTTTTTATTGTGCTTTAAAATATTTTATTTTAGAGAACTTTTATTATATTTTTTTTGGTGTGCAAGTACACATTAAAATCTGTTATGAGTCATAACCCAAATGTCCTTTACCCACTGAATCACTGTGCCCCCCAACACAGGCCGCCCCGTTCCGCTGCCGCTCCGTTAGTGTCGGGGAGCTGTGGCTGCCGCAGCACAGCGCCCCCTCTAGGCCGCATCACACCAGCGCATTCCCCCTTCGTGGACATGGGACCTCCAGGTTTGTGCCATGCCGTGTGCATATTGGTGATGTCACACCTGGCAGGCTACATGTTTAGGATTCCTGCACATGTGTCTTGGTGTGAAGCCTGGTCTCACACACAACCCCAGTACCATCAGTTCCTGCTTTGCTGATCCAGGGCTCACTCTCTATTGTTTCAATTCTCTTCTGCTACTCCTTCGGTCCACTAACTGTCCTTTGACTCTCTCCTGCAGGAGGGTACGGGGAGAGGCCAAGAAGTGCCGGAAGATGTACGGCATAGAGCGGCGGGATCAGTGGTGTACGGCCTGTCGCTGGAAAAAAGCCTGCCAGCGCTTCCTGGACTGACTCTCACGGAGGAGCAGCGGTGCCGCCCCTTTTCGGCTCTGGGTGCCGCCCCTTTTCGGCTCTGGGTGCCGCCCCTTTTAGGCTCTGGGTGCCGCCCCTTTTCGGCTCTGGGTGGCCCCCTTTTCTACCTTAGTGGGTTTTTCCTTCTGTCTTAATGAGGTGCTCTGAGGTTAGTGCCGTCCCGCCAGACTTCTCCATCGGTGCTGTCCGGCTGCTCCCCCCAAGCAGTCTCACCTGAACACACACCTCCCACCAGGCCAAGGCCGTTTACTCCTTTATTTTCCGCTTGACTCCGCCTACCATGCTGCACCAGCCAATCGGAATGGGTTCTTTGGCACCTGTCACCCTGGCAACCCCTTTTCCTGCATGCCCATATGTCAATGAATGAACAGAAGCTGTTTGAGTGTGTGAAGGAGCGGCCAAGAGCATTTTAGACATCATCTCGCTCACTCGCCATGAGAAAATAACCCTTTTAGTCGGGTTTTGTGTTGTCGATTTTTATCTAGATTCCGCTTGGAGAAAATCAGCACATACTACCCAGCCTTGTTTTGCTTTTCCTCTGCTGGAACTCTCTTCTTTTCCCAGAAGTCATTCTGAGTTTACGCTACAGTTGTTTACACCATGGTAAGCCATTTATAATCTTCAAACCCCTGGCGCAGTGGTTTTCAGCCAAGGAACGTGCTGTTTGAGGACAATGGATCTTCATAATTACTTTGCACAAAAGGCATGTAGAACTTGGTCAGAGAAAACACAAGATGACCAGTCCGGCTTTTATATTTTAATCTTAAAATGACTTAATTTTTACATTTTAACTCCCTCGTTTCCGTGCACTGCTGGCAGCCAAGCCAGTGGGGCACATTTCACACTTTTATTTCGGTGTGCCCATGCGCTTCTGTCTTCTACCAAACCCAGTGCAGTGGCATTACAGAAAGACTACAGTGTGACATACAAACCAAGAGTAAATCCTACCCTTGCCCTAAGGCAATAGATAAACAGCAGTTTATCATTTAACGCCTGGCACTGCACATAGTAAATTGATTTATAGTTTTGTACATGTTGCAATGTAATCCAATGCCTGTTTTGTGATGTTAAATCCAGTGTAACTTTTATCCCATCGCAAGTCCACAGTGTGTCTTTTGCTGTCCTTTTATGTTTGATGTATCAGTCTTTTTTTTTGTTCTTTTTTTTGTCCTGTTCTAACAAGTGTCCCAGAAGTACGGTTTCAGTAATACTGTCTGTAATACTGCCCCTGGGACTTGTTTCACTTGGTTGTAATGACTGAGAAATATAGTTTTGCTTTTTAGTGAATTACATGTGTTTGTTTATCATCATTGACTGTGGTGTTGCAGTCATGATTATTTTTCTTAAGAAATGCAACCTGGGTGAAATCAGACCTTGTGACATCGTTCATGTCCATGGTGACATCACAGCTACATTATTCTGTCAGTCTTTGTCTCCTTGATGGATGTGTCCCACATACCTGCCAAAATAAAAATACAGAAATAAACGTCTTTGTAGCTACACTTTACAAAGTGCACTACGGAGAACTGGGCCAGAAACACGACACGCTTGATGTGTTCTCAATTTGCTGGAGACGTAGTTTACAGATAGGCACGAGGCTTTTGTCACTTGTGGACTTCATGCGGGTCAGAATGCAACACTTGTGCACATCTGACAGAGTTAAGGCTTTCCTGCTGGAAAATGACATGATGAACCTATAGTTTCTGTATTAGCTGTCGCACTGTATCTGCCCTAAGGCATAAACAAGAGCAACCCTCAAAACACCCATTTAAAGTTGCCTGGGGATGGTGGACTGGCTTCTATTTGCATGAATAACAGAGGATGTTATGCACATCTAAAGCACTGATCGGCAGGTTTGGCAGAGCTCTTCCATGATGCCGGAGCTAGTCACATTGGCTGATTCCTCACGGCAAACAAATCACTTAAGGACACAGATGCAATTTCTATATGACAAGCCACAAAAGAAATCTTAAACTAATTTATTGATAGTTTATGTTCAGCTTTTTTTTTTAAATATACATGTTTAACAATAAATAAATTTTAAAGCGATTGTGTTTAGAAACAAAAAAGGATAGAAACGGGATTCACCAATACGATACCCTCGTACTCCCCATGTAACTGGCAGCATGCTCTTATAAAAATATATTAACACTGATGATTACCAAAAAATGGACAAGGACAAATACTTGACAGACCAGTGCTTGATATTTATAGTCAGGTATCCAATATATTTGTGTGACTTCAAAAGCCCTTTTTTTTTCCAAACTTGGTTGTATGGTTTAAACAATCCTCCTCACATGAGCTAATATATATATATATATATTATATATATATACATGTAAACACTATAATTTTTAACATACATAATCCAACCATTTTATCATTTGCTCAGCTTGTAACTGCCACATTGAAACGAGTGCATCTAGAATTGATGCATTAACGAGCTCCCACAGTTGTTAGCTGAAGATGTCTTCAGCATGAACACTAGAGGGCAGCATTGTCAACAGAAAAGGTTTCTTATTTGCTAAGATTGTTCTTTTACCTCGTTAATAGTAAAATAAAGTTACATGTATTCTGACCTCAGTATAAAAATGGAGCTAAATCATGCGAGGCATTTGTACGTGCATGATTTTTCAAACAAATCTACAATTGTTAAACATACATTCAATTTATAAATTCAGTCAATTTAGTTACAGCAGTTTATTACAGACTCCTCAACTGTAAACGTATAAAGCAATGGTTTTCCCAGTTCTCTATGATTTAGATGCCATTTTACCAAGGGTTCTTTTCTCATACCATATTTTAATTGATCTGCGTTTATTTGTATATTGCCAGTGATCACACAGTGGGAAAAAGTACATTTAAAAAAAAAAAAAAAACAATTACAACACATGTATGCTTTTTTTTCTCCACATTGTTAGCTTAATCCTCACATACTGTGGGTGTAGTTAGGGCTGCTACGGCTGTGACCACTGAGGCAGGTGGGGGGTGTGAGGAGAGGTATTATGGGACAGGAGTCTCACTCTGGCCGGGTCCTCATGCCCAGGTACTGCTTGAGGAGCTCGCTGAAGCGTTTCTGGTTGTGCCACTTGCGGGCCGACTTGCGGATGCCTATGAAGCCGCCGTATCGCTTCTGCAGGCTCCTGCCGGGGCCCATCAACTTCCTGTATCCGTACTTCCCCTTCAGGAAGCCGCCAAATCGCTTGGACAGGCTGATGGCCGCCTCTTGCAACTTCCCATCATCCTCACGGTCCCCATCATCCTCATCTGCCGCTCCACCCTCTCCCTCTTCCTCCTCGGTCCTGAGCTGCCGAGGAAGACGGGGGTCCAAGATCTGAGCAGCCTCCCAGGACGTTCCATCAAGGCCCAGGGCCCGTGCTGCGTGGTGGAACCGCTCCAGGGCTTCGGAGAACTCCTGGCCTCCGCTCTCCAGGTCCATGGGTGTTAGAGTGGGTGCCTCGTCCATCCCCTTCTTTAGCACAGTGACCTCTACAGGCAAGGAGTGGGGCTGCAAGAGCTCCCCGTACCTATGACACAAGTCCCAGGTAAGTCCCAGGGAGGCCCTCTCCTTGCACTCGACCAGACAAGCCTGCAGGGATCACAACATGGTGGAACGGTGTTAGGAAGGTGAGCCAGACCCCGAGGAACAGCCTGGGAAAAACATTTCAACTTTCATTTGATTACAGTTGTTATTATCCCTCTAGCAGGTAGTTTCACACTCATTGGACGTCTTATAATCTGCTAGCATCTCAGCCTTGCTGAGCAGCATGTGTCTTTGTGTAACTGCGAATCTGTTCAAAAAGCACATGATGGATAGCAGCCCGCTCTTCAGTATACACTTACAGCATGTCTTCAGCTCGTTTTCCAAATTAACAAATGAAAGGAGGTAAGAGGCATTTATTTCTGGAAATGACTGAGGGCCAGATGAGAAGTGCGGCTGTCGGTTCTGGGGAAAGGGGGACCGAGCTCCTGTCTGCAGCTCGTAGCTTGACACAGCTGACCACATTTTGGGGGGGGGGGGGGGGGGGAGCATTTGGGCTCAATCGAGTGCAGCTTCATCATGTCGGTTATCACTGCCGGCAACAGAAGCTGTATCGCTATTCAGCCCCATTGAGCACTGAGGTCACACAATCTCAGCATCCACAGATACCTGAGCAGACTGAAGAGACCAGCTTATATTCTTAAATTATTATATAATATTATTAAACAGGAAGGAAGATGATGTGTTCGCCACGTTCCTGCATCTGAATCCTGAATCTCTAGTTTTAAGAGATTATGCCAGAGGTGATTGTTATTGATGTGTCATTGATTGTAATTTTAACAGGATCTCTCAGAGGTTATTGTTGTTGGCTGCTCATCCCTATTCGTGTCTGAATCTGAATCCATGGGAGTAAGGGCTGCCCTAAGGAATGGAGGAAGGGGGTGTTGTGTAAAAGTGCTTTAAAGGAAGGGGAACACTTCTGCATATGAAAGGGTTTTACAGCACAAGGCTTTTTCTGCTCAAATTTTGAACAAATAACAATGCAAATCTGGCAGTTGATGGCAGCTTGGTGTACTCTGTGGAAAGGAAAATTATATCCTCTTCAGCTTGGCAGAAGAAATCAATCCTTGCACTATGAGTATATGTCAATGTATGGAGGGGTAAGGAGAGTGTGTAAGATACGGGAGATTCTCTGTTAACCGTATGTTCAGCTTGGCTGCCTCTAGGGTCTGAGCACCTTTGGCCAAGAATAAGGGAACGGAGAACTTAAACGTGTCTGGCTTGTATTCTTATCATTGTTCTACGACAACCCTCTGACCAGTGGTGGAGGAAGTACTGAAGCTTAGCACTTAAGTAAAAGTGCAAATATCCTGCAAAATATGTACTCAAGTAGAAGTGCTACATCAACAATCTTACTTAAGTTAAAGTACTAAGTACTTACTTTTAAATTTACTTTAAAGTATTTTTTTAAGTAAAAGTACTCACAATGGTTTGTCTCAACGTCTGGGGTGTGCCATTTTGTAAAAGAATAGTAGATATACTGACTTACGCCTCTACCGATGTCATTGCTCGTAATAATTACAAGCAACTATAGTATACAGTATATGTGTATT